CAGCAATTGACTATAAAGTCCACATTGGAATAATCTAGCCACAGAGCTATCGACCGAATTATCATTCTTGATAATCGAATCAACCCAGTGGGAACAAGACAAGGAGAAAAAGGGACGCACCTCTGTCAATGTGGGATTAAAATTGTCAGAGATGAACCAGCAACATCATCTTGCTGTACCGTAGAGAATTAGCTCTATAAAATCAAATGTGTCATTTAATCTGAACGGTACGCGCTTGCTCGCCGACCGGCTCTATCCACTGCAGTGGCACTGGGTATCTCGAGCCATTGGTTAAACTGATCCGAAGATCGCCTATCGGGAAGCCCAAAACAGCATATGTGACCGAGCCCCTTAGTTCTCATACGCTCATACCGGGTCATGGTTGGACCGCCTTTGCTCTGCCAACTGCCACTAATTACCTCGAAAAACAGTGCACATTAAAGTGATTTGAGTCCATATGAACCTTGTGACATGTCATATCATCATTCTGCCTAAGAATGTTTTACAATTTCATCACATTTAGGCAGTTCCCGGATGGGATATTACAAACGGAAGAATCGGAACTCCAAACCGATGTGGGCTGTAATCCGGAACAGGAATTGGACGAACACGCTGGTGAAGAGAGGGAGCCGCACGTTGAAATAGATCTCACCACACTAACACCGAGACAACGAATACGCATGAATCTTCACACAGAGGCCGATATAACTGCGGCAGTGATGAGGTGAGCAGTATTCTCATGAGTCATTTTCGGATTCTACGATATGGTATGCAATCCTTTTCTTTGATGCATCACTTCCAGTCTTGTGACAATGTCAGCGGAGTCGATCATGTGCGCTAACTATACCAGTTTACGAATCAGGAACCAAATCAAGAGGTCCGGGTATCATTTCTAGATGTCTGGCTATCAGACCCAGACGTTCATATAGGACAGTAAATCCATCAGAATTTCAAGGATCACATACTGTTCAATTCTAATGGCGATGTGCGGCTGATCAATATTCAGGACAAACATTTGTCAGCCTCCTGGTGAAGCGCCAGTGGGGAAAAACACGTCGTTGTAATCGTCTTCAGTCCCATGACCCCCAAAAGTCATAACATATATCGATCTCTTGCCTTTCGTGTACACGTACACGTCTGTATCACATGTGTGTTTCTCCCCACCCGCATCTTGCCATGTTTCACCGACACTGATGGATCATGTTCCATCGACATACAGCGCGTCACTGTTATCCAGTCAGTGTGCTATTTGTGCATTATATTCCTTTTCTCTGTAACCACCACAGAAGCAACACCACGACTTGTAGCACCCCTATAGATTGCGGTTTTCGCACATCGCACCGCTGCCTTGCGGGTCAGGCTTTGGCTAGCCAAAGGCTCCGGTTGTAGATTCCTTAAGACAATTCACCTGCCTTGGCCAGGGCTATCTGGCAGTATTCCGCCCACATGCAAATCATGGAATCGTCTTTCTTTTTCATAAAGATTATTGTACCGTGATTCAGACGTGTGTTAATATATATACATAGTAAAAAACAATCAACGTGATCATTTGGCCCGTATATTCGGAACCAATGAGAAACTTTCATTAAACCAACCGCGCTTGAAATAGTCTAGGAGAAGCCAGTGAGATACACCACACATTATACTGCAACCGTATTACCTTACAACAAATTTTAAGTTCGAACATAAATATCTTTTCTTAAACTTGATGTTCTCTGATTAGAGATTCCGAATTCGATAATCTATTCAGCTAATTATCCACTACGTGTGCAAGGCGCCACTTGACATGTTTCTGACGCAGTCAATCAAATTGCCTTGGAACTGATTCCCCTCGCCCGCCCGCTCAGTCGCTCGCTCTCCTGAATATTGTCAGTTGAACCACTGCAGTTATCAAAACTTTCTTGTTTAAATACCAGATCATTTTATGCTACAGAGGAGATGAAAATAAATGTTAACATCTCGCAGTATTTGTCTTGCCTTTGTTCGAAAGGATTGGATGAAACGGATCCCAATGTTTCAAGAGTTGTACTCACTTTACTGAACTGATTGCGTAACACTACCGTTCAGTCATGTTTGATTTTTTTTAAACAACGGTTGATTACGACATATCGTCGGGCCATGGTAACCTGTAAATGTGGATAATCCGCTTTTGTTTGCACAGTTCGGGGTGACGGATTAGAATGGCTACTGCTTCGGCTATACAGAACATAATTTGCCTCTATTGGTCAGGCCGGATTCATTGGGGTTCTGTAGATGACCTCAAGTGACCTTGCGATCTCATTTGTACACAGTGTTGTCTAAATCACTGAAGCAAACTATGCCCTTCACAGCCATTTGGATATGCAACACCTATTTTTTATTACACACAGTAGACCGGATAAAGCCCCATAGTCACGAAGACTTGCTGTTTGGTGATGGTAACCGGCAACCTAAGTCTCGGGGCTTGGAGTGGCGCACTACGCAAGGGCCCTCTAGATTACGCTTGCTTTTGAACCGAACGACAGCCAAGCTGCCGACCACCAAAGTCGGATGGCAGTGGCGGGGTTCAAACCTCGGACCATGGGGTCCAAAGCACGCCGATGACAGCGACTAAACGGAAGATTGCACCGTTCCATTCCATCCATCTTGATGTTCCGGTCTTGTTCCATCTCCGACCAAGGATGGGTCCACGAACTCAACCACTATGCGTAACCTTGGTGATCGCCGGTCCCCTACTATTTGCGACGTGAATAGTGTGCAGTATAAGTGCAGTGTAAGTGGGCATTGCATAACACGCCTCCAACATAACTGTCACGTGGAACTCACGCTGCGAGCTGCAGAGCGCACTTTAATGATATCACTCAGTATGGGGTTAATAGGGTAAATAAGTTTGGGAAAGCTATAATAAAAATCTGCTTGATTTTCAATACAGTCAATCTATTGCACTCCTATTGTCACAAATTTGTTCAATCTGGGTGGTTTGGGTGCAGACAGATTGCGCAAAAACAGTGTTGGGCTAATAGCATTTCGTGCACCAAACAATAAATGCGACGATTTTGTTCAACACGTACCGTTCTAAATGCTCTTACGTCCACCTGCTTTTGGACAATGACATGACGCATTTGGTTTGAATGAATGAATCAGGTCTGAGTTCTCAGTACACATTTGCCAGATAAGAGCGTTTCTGTTCGGCAAAGCGAAAACCTGCAGTTTAAACTGCGAAACAAAAATACACAAAGCGTTTTCTTCAACAAGGACCGGTTCAGAGTAGAACAAATGGGTTCAGAAGGAAGTCAGTGACTAGGGAGGAGTTGAGAAATAATGGGACAGTGCCTTCGTTCCCACCCTCACCCCAAAATCAGTTTGGAGAAGAACAAATGTCACTGCTTTCTATCTGGATGGTGGGTGAACAGAAGACAATCAAGCTATTATGGGGCAAAGTAGCCCACCTGTTATGATGGAAACCCATATATGGATAACAACGCTCTATCACGCAATCCCTCATGGTACCACCACATTAACGATGTTATTTTCATTGTTATGCTGAAATCCGAACTGCCTGTATGACTTGGAGTGTTTAGCTCAAAGGCTACTGGTTACCATATGTTACCTTAATTTTCTTGTCTTATGATTATTTCATATAACTGACACTATTCACACACTCACATTGTCGCGTTACTACGTTCGATTTGATATTCTAGGTTCATGGGCATGCAATATACAGTACTGGCCGATTGTGATGTATTCAAATACTTTCTTTATGATCAAATGGAGTTTCATTATATTTATCACCCTTATTAATGGGTTAGGTATGGACAATATCTTATATCTTGTCTATTTCGATCTACGTAGTGTCAATTAAACGGGCCTGACCTTGAGTGCCAAGATTAAATAACCTCAACATGAAAACCACAAATTTTATCAAGTATCACAACGGGTTTCAACACGAACGAAACAAAATGCAGAACATAGGAAGGTGAAGTAGCACACTTTGTAGCCAGATACTAATGGCCGAAGCAGAGTTCGAGCTTTCGGCACTTTTTCGCCCGGGTTCACTAAGACATTGTGCTACCAAGTGAAGATCCAGGTAAGTTACTTGCTTTTCGGAATAGTTTGAGTGCCAGCGCAGCCATGTTCGGTAAGCGTTTTGCACCTTCAAAGTGTAAAATGTTGCTAAAAGGTTGGGTTGGCCCAGCAACCAACTTCACCCTGACTGGGGAAGTAATAGACAAATTTTTCCATTTGCGTAGCTACATTCCCCATGACGGACGCATTACAGATGAAATGTCCTCACGGAAACCGATGGCTCGATTGACATTAGCCAACTTGGGACATCTTTGGCGCCGTCGCGACATCCGGCTGTCAGTTAGGCCAGTTCTGCTCTACGGTGCAGAGAATTGGTCATTACGGGTGTCATAGCGGTGTTCAAACAACGCTGTCTATGTCGCGTTGCATGAGTCTGATGGGGAAACCAGACAAGCAATGCTTAGCTTAGGCCCTGAGTTTTAAGGTAATCGCTTTCGTCCACTGGAGTATTTAGTCCGCCATAGATTACACCATTTGAGACATGTGTTGCGCATGTCATCAAATAGATTGTCACGGTGTGCGTTGTTTGTCAGGTAGCTTTCGGAAAAAGGTTAAGGGCGGTCAACTTAAGACCTGGCATTGGAGTATGAAAATCCTGACCAGGATATTTCTTAAGGCGGTGGTGGCGCAGTGGCTTAGTCGCTGTCACCAGCGCGCTTTGGACCCTGTGGCCCGCGGTTCGAGCCCCGCCATCGCCAACGGATGTCGGCGGTAGGCAGCTTTGCTGTCGTTCGATTCAATACCACGCCTAACCTATCAGGGCTTTATATGGTTCGCCACTCCAAGTCTCCCAGGCTTAGGTTGCCGGTTTCCACCATGATCAGCAGATCCTCGTAACATTGGGGTTCACCCCCTACTGTTCATCACACCTAGATTTGTAATAAAAAAACAGGTCCCGTTGGGCCTCCTGGATGAGAACCCTGTGTTAGCGGTAATCTTAAGTTAGAGACACCGAGTGTCGCAAACAATGGCGCTCATACTTTTACTGAATAGTCTTGCAACCTCAGGCAGCAACCAAAACCAGCGAGTGAAAGTGCGTGGGTAGTGGGTGTAAAACTGAAACTTACTGAAGATAAGTGACCATTCTTCGTTGCCAAGTGGTCCTGACATGACGTATCGTGTGAAAGTTGATGTTACCAATGATTGGTCTTTATTTCTTATACTACTCTCACTATGTTAAAAATTGTATGGTTTACTATTCTTAATGGGAGCTTGTTCGGGTTAATCCAGCAAAACTGGATTAGCTCATTTAAGCGGTTTTTGAACCGGAATGTGCTAACATGAAACACCAAGTTTAAGGCCCTGCTGCTGGTTAAAATTTGTCAGTCGATGAGATAGATGAAAATCCAGTGGGAAATTGTTAGTTTAAAGATATTCTTTTACTTCTACGATGACTGATGATGCTCTACAATGGGGCACCAAGACTTTTTGAAAACACTTCTCCAGGATGTAGCTGCTCTTCTAATTCACATCGATTCTCGTCAACCTACAGATTCGCACGCGCCTACGTGGAACACAGAACGAGAGTGAGAGACTGTGTGTTTGTGCACTGGCACAGGGTTCCGGCTATCCGATCTCCGAATTTTGTCTACTAATGAATGCATACCGTACAGAATCACTCGGCACAATTCCGCACTTATTTTTATCCGTCTAGTTGTGACAGCTACCTGAAACATAAGCAGGCCCACGAATGAGCAATAATCAACTACACATATTCTATACTACACATATTTTAATGACCGGACGGTATGAATTTCACCAATCAATAAAATTCGTTCCGTTAATTGAATTGCATTGTTTTCCCCTCCCATAGGGAAAAGGCGGAAAAATATTTCCAAAATCGTTTCGCTAGCACAAAAGGATCGGACAGCACATGGAAAAGTACATCGGTAAGCAGTTGTATTTAATATACAAAGAGATATATACAGTAATCTTTGTATGCTTGTACACGTTCGTTCACCATAGCAGATCAACCCCATGTGCTATATATGTGCTTGTTTGTTTTAAGTCAACGACTGAGAAGATGAAACGAAATGTCATGCTCTATCACTTTCTCTACTGTCTCTGCGTTTATCCTACTTATGAGTAGTCAGTATCTAACAATGATTTTTCGTTAAGAGTGAGCTAACAGTTCAGGTATGCCAGAAACCACGTAATCGAAAACAAATATCTATTATCGGATATGTGTAGTACACTTTGATTTCTTTTCAATTTTTCAAAATCCATTGTTCATATACCATTCTTGTAAAGTATATATGCCATAACGTCTGTATACATCCATGGGCTCGTTCGTTTGCGCTGTCGCCGTTGCCCACTGAAGAGGATCGATACATTCGGTATAGTCACCGTTGATCGACATCAGTGAGGTTGTTAATAGTAATGACCTTAGCGACTGATTAAGCTCTACAAGTGACCCTATATGATGATTCACGAACTAGAATTGCATCGAACAAACACAGCAAGGGGCTCGTCCGACCCAGGTAGTAGTTGTAATGATGTGCCTTGGCGAGTGACCCATCCAATTTCTTCTAGGACAACCTCGATCACCGTTGTTCATTCACTTGCACAGCTGCGCTGGTGGGACAGAGGTCATTGATGAACTAAAATCAAAACTGACCACAAAATATGAATGAAATCACTCAAGTATCCCCACAGTTTTTGAAGGGTTTATTTGTAGCAAAATCATAAATCGTCGTTTGTCTAAGCTTGGTTCTCCGTTAGACATCAACAAACGCGTTATTTGGACCAATTGTACACTCCAGTAATTGACCCGATATTCGAGCATTAGCCAAGACAAACAGCTTAAAAGGATCCGACAACCTCCATGTTTCTCTGATTGAGATAACTTTAGGCACATTTTTACATCTTTACACACGTTTTCTCTGCGACACTTCTATTGGTTCACAACCAGTTGATCTAAAAATGAACGATTGGATGCAGTATTTTTTTAACCACACACTTCATCTCAAACTAATAAACAGGTAATTTCTTCAATAAGACGCTCATATATTTTTTATAGAACAAGGAGTGGCGAACAAGCTCGTTTTCAGTGAATTCGTAGTCATGCCAAATACATTACAATAAACATCACGCTGTTTATTTATGTAGCAGTATTCAAACAAAAATTCACTCAGTTGTTTTGGGAAAGGGAAAATAAAATCATAGGTTAACTGGGCTAATTTTGTCTTAGGATCCGACGTGGGATTCTCAATGATCACATAATTGTTAGGTCATCCGATCGTTGGAACCACTCGGGATATGGGGTGTGTGGGGAGTGGGCCAAGGGAGCTTAAGCGCCTGCACAAATTGTTTTTGGGTACACAGAGAGGAGTTGGGCAGCCCTGATTTCTCAGCCACTCTCACCACAACACATTAGCGAACAGTTACATCGCTCCCGACACGCCTGCCTCCGATATTCGTCTGTTTGTCGACTCTTTCTCCTCACAACTTGTAACAGGTTTAGACCAATCTTTATGCATTGCTGCTGGTGATTTTAATCGTTTTGATATCTCATTCCTTACAACTTTAGGCCTAACAAATCTTGTAAATTTTCCTACCTGGTTTTGTATCCAACTTGACGGGATTTTTGTAAATAGCCCAGAAATCTTTTTCATTGAGAAGCGGGCTCTCATAGGTAGCTCCCACCGTTGCTCCATTTTTTGCATTCCAAGATTTACGGTAAATATTTTCACCAGATAAACCGTTCCACATCTAGAATCATCAGAAGGAGAAGTTGCAATCCTGACAACTTATCTAAACTTAGAGATATGGTTTCTTCTACCGATTTCACTGTCTTTTCCAATGCTGATAACTCTTCCAGTTGTGATCATCTTACATGTTATCTTAATTTTTTCTATGGTCTGTGTTGCCCAGTTGAGCTGAAAGATTCTCTTCGCCTCTTCTAAAACGGCTTCGTTCTGATAAAGAAAAGGCTTACAAGACTGGAAGGCGCAGAGCTGTCAAACATCTATCATTATTAATCAAAATGGAAATACAGCGCCTAAATCTGATATATATCGAAACTCTTATGGGAAACCAGAACTGCCGTGATATGTGGTCTGCTTAGAGACAGCTCTGTGGATCACGCAACAGCTCTTTTCCGGATGTTGAAGAGTTAAACAGTCAATTCACAAATGCTACTGTACGGAACTCAACACCACCTTTATTTACATCTACTGGGGAGAACCAAACTGTCACTCCTGTGGAAGTCCTGAATGTACTGAAGCCCCTTAAATCTAACACGATACATGGCCCTGATTCATTGTCCCCCTTCCTGCTGGAATAGTGTGTTGAACAACTTGCTTCACCTATTTCCGAGTTTCTCCATTTGTGTATGTCATCTGGAAGCATCCCTGATTGTTGAAGAGCTCCTTGGATAACACCAAATCCCAAGAAGGGATCTCCAAAAATCGGCCGATTGCCTGCACACCAGCATTATTGAAAGTTTTGGAAAGTCCTTCTTAACCGGTTGATCCTTTTATCTGTTACCCATGACCATGTTTAGTTTGCTTACAAACATTCGCTTTCCCCTCTTGATGCTGCTGCTCACATTGTGCACTCCGTTTCATCCTTATTGGATAAAGGGGTTGGCATCGTCCTATTAATTTTAGATGGTGAATGGTTGGATTAACCCAATCGGTTTTTCACAGGCACCAGGCACTCTTGATGGTCTTGGCTGTGGATAGTTTAGTCGGTTCTACCCGACATTCACCATCTAAATTGATTGAACCATTCACACAAGGTGATAACCGTCCATAGTGTATCTCAAGGGTAAGGGTTTGAAATCCTGGCCCCAACAATTGCGGTACGAGTCTTGACAGAGACAAAAAAGGTACGTTCTGCTGATGGGTCCCAAACAGGACAAAAAGGGCTGTGCAGTGCTCTTTTTTTCATATTTGAGTATTGCTACATATATAAACAGCGTGATATTTATTGTGATGTATTTGGCGTGAGTACGAATCACTGAAAACGAGCTTGTTCGCCACTCCTTGTTCTTTTTGAAATGTGCTCTGTGGGACTGTTCAAACAATTTTTATTTTTAGTTATATTTTCAGACACATTTGAGTTCAGACTGTGTTAAACAAATCACAGTACAATAATCCGTATGAAAAGAAAAAAATATCCACTATTTTCTCGAGGGCACGATACGGCTAGGTTACCCAGGCTGAAGCAGGTGAATTTTCTTAGGGAATTCACAACCGGAGCCTTCGACTAGCCAAAACCTGACCCTCAAAGCAGCGGGGTGGTGTGTGAAAGCCGCAATCTTTTGGGGTCCAGTCTCTTTGATCATACGCTCTTTGGACGAGATCGAACGTCCAGGGTACCAGGTATACCTCGATGCCCCATTGAGCCGGTGATCACAGTCACGACCAGAAAACCGTGGGTGGATGGGGTTCGTACACCTGTTCCGGTTGATTTGGAATCAGGGTTTTTAGCCAACTCCCCTCGGTGAACTGCCAGTGGTTCACCGACCCGGTTATAGCCCTGGATACTGAATTGTCGTCCTCCCACTTTGGCGGGAAAACACCTACACCACAGGAGGGTAGTGAGTGGAGCTTCCTCAGCAGGGGCTATTCGAGACATTTGGTTGTGTGGGAGCATTCCTCGAGCTGCAAGGGAAGGGTGACCGGGCGCAACCCGAAAGACCCACCTTGGACCATACTGAGACCCAATGCGTAAGATGTTAGATAAATTCACATTTACCCCTCGGGTGGCTGCATTATCGGTCGATTCAATGTGGGTTTTAATCCAGCTTTCATGAAATGGTCGATTAGTTCCTGCGGGTGAACAGATATCCCAGTTTTTGGACTCGATGCGTTGCCACGGCAACGCCCATTTCTGTTTTTATATCGGATTGCTAATCTTCTACCGGAGATGAAATGCACGTCAATAAATGTTACCAGAACTAACGTTTGAAAGATCAAATCGAAGGCGGGGTATGTTGTTTGTAACACTAAAGACTAGTTTGAAGGCAATCATGCTAATTTTGAATTCGATAATGTAATGGCGTTCCTATGGTAAGGTACGCTGACTATTAAGCGAAAAATAGTGTTCTTGGAAAGCCATCTTTGGGATAAATAATTTGTCAGGAAGGTTAAATTCCAAAACATCCGGTCGAAAAAGTCGTATGTTTGGCGAGAATAGCCAAAAGAAAAAAGCCGCAGCTGGGTGAGCCTCCGGCCCGAAATGATCGATCACTGTATTTCACCACGGACGGTACGACGTTTCTGATTGGTCAGACAGTGTAATCAACCGGCCGGTTTGACCACTCTGCTTAGTCAATTGATATCGAACGTTCAGAACGCACCGGACGCAATAAAAAAGAACGAATGCTAACGCGTAAGGACGACACAAAAAGGAAGACACTTTTTTCTCTAATATACTGCCCTGTGCCATTTTGATTGTGTTCTTTTCTTCGGTTCGGAAGTTGGTGGTGCGATAGCAGTCTCAGCAGCAGTCAGTACACAACATAATTCATGCGTTTTTGGAAGAATTATCATTACAGAACAGGCTTTTGCCATCTATACCACAGAGAAATTGGGGTTTGAAATTTTCAAATAACCAATCATGCTGTCAAAAAGCTTTGTCTTGGTTTTTCCTTTGAACTTCTCGGCTCCGGAAACTGGCAATGTTTGCGACTTAATGTTTTTTTCTGTGAGCTACTTATGATATAAAGCTGTTTTGTCAGCATTCAAAATATCACAATCGATATAATATCCCTGGATCGACTGCGGTAACCCTGCTCGAAAATCTTCCAATGCATCACCTGGTTACCGTCGTCGCAAATCTAAAAATAACACACGTGAGTAGTTGTTTGTCCCTAACATTTTAGGGTCAAATACACCCGTTTCACCACGAGTGAATCCAACCTTCTGAAGCCTTGTAGTTACCATGCTGATTCAGTCATCTTCTTACGAACGACGAACTATCCATGATTTCTCCTCATAGCTGCAAACCATGCCAGCGTCACCTCATAAATTGCCTGAAAATTTTAGTTGGTTTTCAGGTGGCATCTTTCCTGAAGTACGCCATCATTGACCAATTCTTCGGTAATCGTTCACATCAAAACAGTTAGCTTTGAAATTCCAATTGCTATCATAACAGAGATTTGAGTTGCACCCGACTGATTCAGCCTATCCAACGAACTCCCCTTATCTCTGATAGATAGCCGTTTGCACCTTGTCATGTCAAATGACACCGTCTTGAATCGGTATGCATCCCTCAAAATCATTATCCAATTAGTGAACGGTGAGTGCCCTGCATGTGTCACTCTGGGTGAAAGGTCATTGGTTGAATGCGATATTGCATGTTTCTTTGTGAATGCCCAACCCATTCATCAGTCAACGATCAAATGAATAAGTGTCAGGAAGTGCAATATACGAAAAGGGTGACGCTACACAGTCAGGATCTACGTAATTAACTACGCGGTTGTTTTGGGTTTCGTATAAAGTGGGAACACATTGGAAAATGCTACTTCTCATTGGTGAAACAGAAAGAGATTGATTGTACTAGTGTTATAATTCCACAAGGCGGTGCCTGGTGGTGGAAACTTGTTTATTGCAGTTTGCGGTTAGGATATTGATAACTTGCATACATGTAATAAGATATCTCATTTGAAACATGTCATCACAATTCCCGGCCGCACACAGGTTAATTACTAGAATAGTCCGTAGTTATTCTTTGAAGCACAGTGATTCGCTCTAAGTGGTGTTGTTTATTTTTGACGGTTGAAATAAATCACCAATCGCATCTTTTTGCGAACTACTCACAAGTATGAGTAGTATCTCACAACATTAGTGTAACGGGTAACTGGAAACAGTCGAATTCCGCCTATCCTGTGGCGATACTTGTTCCTGTTGATCTTACGCAATCTGTAAGGGGAATCGAATGTATTATATATCGAAGTTTTTGGAGAAAGCTTCTGTTTATTGCGAGGAGAACTGTCATTTGCCAGATTACAAAACCTATTGGTGTTCATTGTACGAACAATTCCAGAGGTGAAAATTTTCTCATTAATTCGGAGAGACTTCGTATTGTCAAAATAAATGGCACCCATATGTGTGATCTGTATGGTTGGATAATTTGTCTGCATAGTAAAATTCTGTCCGTTCACCACTAGTATATATATATATATATGTATGTATATGTATATATATATATATATATATATATATATGTATATATATATATATATATGTTTCCGTCCGTTGTTCTGTGGGTAAGTGGAATTTTCGATAGGCGTTGTGATATTGTGTATGAAAGACGAAAAAAGGATTTTATGCGACATTACACGCCAAAAACAAATCGAATGGCTACATCGTTTTCTTGGCTCAGAGCACCTGTCTGTTTTTGCAAGTTTGTGAATAAGGCAATCACACAAAATTACTGGCAATGTTTTCACATTTATGAACCCTTTGAAACGGGAACGCGACTCTCAAACCATTAAAGTGGCACGAAGCGATCAGTGATAACTTACGGGTGCGTCGCTACGAGAATTGTCTGAAGTAAGATGTAGACTGTCCATTCCGTTTCAACACAACCATACATCCTTGTTTTATACGTTTCGCCATAAATATTAGCTAAATTTTGTTTTCAACAGTTTAAGTACACAATAAACCTCTGTGGATTTCTTTGACTACCCGAAACTTAGATTCATTTTCATATAGTGCCCTTCTTTCGCTCGCCAGTAGTTAGTTCTCCATGTAGTTATAATCTGGGTTGCATTCAGGTCACCCCGGTAACCTAACATTTTAGTATAAAATCCATGATCATCTCAAATACGAAGTCAGTACAAAGGAGTCTTCTCGTTGAAAACCCAGGATTTCTTGTTGACTTTCCGACACAGAAGGTAATGAAAATTCTGGTGGAGTGTCTGTCTACGACGCGGAGGTTTGCGCATCGTCCAGAATAATCACGCGATGAACGCGCATCCCACACTAAAAGAGAACTGCTATCGAGCGCCGTTGCGCACGTCTTGGCAAAGTTGAGAACAGGCATTCGGGGCTGTATAAAGTAAAATTGGGCTCATTGTTTAAGCGATGAAACGCTCATGTATGTGACTTGCTGTCAATCGTGGATGTCTTATCCGCATAATTATTGGCCTGTATCGGAATTTGACAATGTCAATCAATATGATGGGTTAAAGAAATGCGATCCAATTGGCTGAATACCGCAAAGAGAATAGGTAACTGTCTGAATAATCCCCAAAAGCACATTTCAAACAAAACAACAGAGTGGCAAACAAGCTCTTTCTCCCCGTGATCCGTATTCATGCTAATAAATCACAATATGCATCACTAATTAGAAGTAAAATTGTCTTGGTAAAATAAAATCACGTCAAGTCACAGATTGCTGGAATTGATTTCATCTTGCAACCACAAATCGGATTCATCATGATCACATAGTTGTTTGTCCATTCGTCAATTCCGTTCGGATTGAAAATGCTGCGTTACAAATATTTGGCAAGAATGTGTAATGAGAGAGAGACACCAGACTTATTTGATGCATAATTTGCTTATCTTCCACCCATCGACTTCATTTGTTTGATTCCCCAAGATTAGATTAAAAAGAAAAAAAATAGTACTTTACAAATAAATTGTTTACTATAATTTCGCACTACTGCCGTAGAAAAATAGGGTTTCACAAGATATGCGCAAAGCAATATGGTATTACAATCAAATAAAATAGCATTGTCTAAACAGTCCCACAGAGCACATTTCAAAAAGAACAAGGAGTGGCGAACAAGCTCGTTTTCAGTGATTCGTAGTCATGACAGATAATTATGATGTTACTTTCCTTTTTCCAAAGCAATCGATTGTTTTTTTGTTTATATATTGCTACACCTATAAATAGCGTTTGACTTGTGAGGTCCCGGGTTTGATCCCCGGATGTATTGATGGATTCCCACTGCTGATGAAATCCAACCAGGTCGAAATAGCTGTCTAGTGCTTCCTAGCTTTTCAGCTCACGCCTCACTTACACGACGAATTCATCATCTAATCAAATTACAGATTATTAGAAATTGATTTTATCATGAAACCCAGAATCGGATTCGCCATGATTTCACAGCTGTTTGTTCACTTATCCGGTCATGGTGATTACTCGTGATGCGCTTCGTGGGGAGGGGGAGGGAGCTGGGATGTGAACAAGTAAGTATTTGACCATGGTGAATCCGATTTCCGGTCTCATGATGAAATCAGTTCAATTATTCTGTGATATGATTTTATTTTCCCAAAACAATTTTATTCCCATGTGATGATATATACTCTGATGAATTGGCATGAAAACGAACTACTGAAAATGAGCTGTTCCCCACTCTGTTGTTTTTTTTTTTTGAAATAATATGTAACAACCAAGCAATGCGTGGACAGTTAGAGTAGTCTCGGTTTTTTCTCATTTGTACGAATTGACCAGTGTTACAGATTGTGGGGGCTGTCACCGCACACAAGATAGTCATCCCATCCACCCACCCCCAATGGCCTGAAGCAATGCGTACCGCCTGATGACTCCGGTATGAGCAACATCCGGTCATGGAACTGGAATGTGATTATTTTTCCCCTCTCATTACGTCATGAGTTTTGTTTTCCTGAGAACCATAATGTTTCACCAGTGTTTTTTTGCAATATTTTTTGGCAGAATCAACCGTATCCACGACTGGTCTGTGTTCTGAGTGATTGTACGTCCTGCATTGGGACGTCATTCCAAATATGATATCTCTTTATTTGGCTATCAGCTGTTTGCTTTATCTTTGTTCTACAATACGCACCGTTTCGATCAAAGATTTGAATAACCCGGGTCGTTTTATTTAAGAGATTTGCTACCTCGTGTCCAAATTACCATTTATTTTATTCCAATTTAACGCCGATTGATCTTGATTTTGTCTTCCCTTCAGACTAAAGTTGGTTCCATCGACCGGGGACATTCAGCACGAAAGTTGCCCCAAGAACGTCTACTTGAGCAATTGCGTCAACTGGGCAGAGAGTCCAAATCGACCGGGAAGAATGAACCTAGAGAGCATAATTCTACCGTTGCTACTGTTGCTGTCCACGATGTCAACGATGATGAGGAGGAGGAGGACGAGGAGGATCTTTCTTGGCCTTACTCCACAATCACCGACGGTAAGTGTACCGGATCGATGATTGAGTGACTCACGGAAATATACCCTAATTCAAGCTAGCTAGGTGTACTATGGGGAGACAATAAATCAACGAATATTACATATCTCAAGTTATGGGGCAACCTGCTCCTCGGGTTACAACTAATCAAGCGGGGGAAAATAAAGCGCCTAGAACGAAGGCCCTGAGAAGCAAATTTGGGGATTATACACGGACAATACACTTCAAAGAGGAATAACATCTAGTGAAAGCCACACATGAGCACAGACAGTTGCTACTGCTTCACACAGGTGGTCCTTGTGAGCAAACGTGGTCTCTCGAATGATTAGGGAGGTTGTCAAGCCGGTCAGCTTCGGTAAGTAAACAGGCACAGACACTCGCACATACTCACACGAGATTGGGAGACTCGTGACATGATCACACAAAGCACGGTAAGATCCACGTGAGTAATTGGATTGTTCTCAAGAATGGATTGGTCAAAAGGCTACCAGACAATGAGATGGTTTGGAAATGATTATATATTCAACCAGTGTTTGTGTGTAATTTCAGTCAAGGAGAAAGCATTGTATCTTAAGATTCAGTCAGACATCCGGTGTATCTGAGTTGGACACAAATTAGATGCATAATCTGTTCCCACGCATGCGATACAGGTTATGTATGGCTGATCCCAGTTCACAAAGCACAGGATTGATGATGAGGATGGCGGCCGTTTTACAGCTCATAAATCAATGAATAGGGGCTTGCAGGAAACTGGGACTGCTACTAGTGGACTGGAGTGGATTTTCACAACTTTCCGTGTACGAAGAATACATTGTTTTGCATGACTCAATAAATTCTTGACGGAAACCTCTTCTTACTGATTAAGAGTGTGTGGTGTTTATAATGTACAGAATGTGTAGACTTTTGGAATGGTGATGTGTTATCCCCTTTGAGTAGTTGACAAAACAACCAGGGGCAACCCTATCTTTCGAGGTAAATGCACACTACGGGCAGAAGAATAAGTTACATGAAGTAGTATTGTTTATTGGAAAATTATGCTTTGAACATTGTTCATTAGAATAAATTACAATCAAATAATCAACTACACTGAAGGGAAGTAGTCAGTTTTTCTTGATTGGTTTGCATTACCTGATCGGTCATTCTCTCCATCCCTTTGCGGTGGCAACCTCCCCTCCTCCCGCACACACGCAGTCCCTTTGAAACTTTCGCTTTGTGTGAACCAGGGTTCTAGATTCTCTCCATTTACCCATCTGTATTATGGATGTTGACTGATCCAGAAACTAGTGTCCTTCCGTCGTTTTGAGAACTTTCTTCCTTCAGCCTTACCCCATCAGGCTTACTTTACTTTTCCGGGGAGTCCGGATTCAATTTGTGCAATCAGTTTCAATTATCAAATCGTCCCTTGTTCCAGCTCTGGGTATCTCTCGTCCGTTAAAATGACAACATCTTTATCTGTTTCTGGTCATGTATTGTATTGTCATTTCTTGGTTGTCGATCAGTTCCTTTCTGGATTCCAAACAGAACATTAACTCGAACAGTGGCTCTTTATTCATGGAATGGAAAGTTGTACTATAGCTGAGCGATATATTTTAGCCGTTTCAACGATTGTTTTAACCGCTCTTTCATTGTTTTGTTAAGACTTTCCAGTATTCCGTTTTTCTTGGGTCGATAAGAAAAGGTTTTCTCCCTCTGGAAACCCCATTTTTCCAATGTTTCGGAATTCTTTTGGTCCATGGTCTGTGATGAATTTGCCAGGTATACCAAACCTCGCTAGAAACCGAACGATACGGAACTGCCAATATTTCCAGTCACCGAAACATAGTCAATCAAAGGATGAACCGATTTCCTGACGAAAATTTCTCAGTCTCTAGTTCTGAAAAGCGTGTTGCGTTGGGACGATTTGCACTAGCCGTAACAAAGTCACATGCTCGCGGTTTCCCCGGCAGTTCCTAAAGTCTGGATGGATCGCAGTATCTTAACCCATCATAGGTCAGAACACTCTGAGTTGTCAAAAATCAAAGACTCGTTGTTGTCTCACCTGCGCGCCATCATATACCAGCTGATGCCATCGGAATGAACGCGAATCATCTCGGTCTTAAACCGTGCCACATATCGTCATCTACCATGCGTCAGATGTCCATCGCATACAGAAAATCCTATGTTTATGAAATGTCTCTTAGCGCGGTGAATCCCCCCACACCCTGGTCTGGTTTTAGCTGGAAGGTGTGAGCAGACTGGTTGCACTGGAGTTTCGTCTTTCTAGTGGACGACCAATGTGTGACCTGGGGTCAGAAAATGTGACTATACCATTTTCAGAGAGCTTTGAGAAACTATAATTTTCATTTGCGAAACCGTCAGTTGGAATTGAGAAACCATCACTTAGATTTGAGAAAGAAATGCTGTGGTTGGATCCGCTTCCGTTCAGCGCACCTCATTGGTCAATTGATCATACATTTTTTCTACCCCCAGATCGATCACCTGTCTTCCCACGCTCTTTCTGTGCTGAAATGAAGCAGACCTCAGTCGTGCAT